GAAATCATGAATTCCCTTTGGGTATTCAACGATTTGGGGCCCTCAAAGGCTTCCTGGTATTTTTGTTGGGAGGTGAGGGGGTCTGAATTGTGGTCAGTTGTGCGCGAGTAGACTGGGGGCCAAACTTGAAAAAAGAAGAAAAAACAAAAAAAAAAAAAAAAAGGAATTGTGGGATTCCCATTTTTCCAGTTCCTCGGCGCTGTTCGGCGCTGGTTTTTGTTCGTGCCTCGCGGGTTTTGTTAGCCGGGCCCCTCAGGGGTGTGGGCTCTTCCGGACCCCTCTGGGGAGGCCGCCGCCTGGAGGCCTGGAGAGCCGTCGGAAAGGTGCCTCGGGCTGCGAGGGAGCGTCTTGGGCCGTTATTTACGTTCTGGGGGCTCCTTGGGGTCGTCTTGGGCTGTCGTTTTCCCGCTTCCAACCCTCGAAGATCGAGGATTTTTTGGGGGAAGAAAGGGAATTCCCAGAATTCCCTTTTTTTTCAAAGTGGGATTCCGACTCGGAGATCCCACACAACCTCTGACATTTGGCTGGTACCGCGCCTCCCGGCATCCCGGGAGGCGCGGTACCAGCCAAATGTCAGAGGTTGTGTGGGATCTCCGAGTCGGAATCCCACTTTGAAAAAAAGGGGATTCTGGGAATTCCCTTTCTTCCCCAAAAAAATCCTCGATCTTCGAGGGTTGGAAGCGGGAAAACGTGAGAAGGCGAAAAACATTAGAAAAACCATGGGAAATCAACGATTTGACCCTCTTTGGGCTCTCTCGGGACGGCTCTCGCAGCTCTCTTGGGCTGTTCTTGGAGCCTCGTCGGGGTCTTTTTGGGGCCTCTCAGGGATCGAGGGTGTGTTGGGGGCCTCTGGGGGGTCCTGGAGGCCTCTCCATGGTCTCTGGAAGCGGCCCCCGGCGCTCCGGCAGGGCTCCCAGCGCGCCGGGCCCCACATTTGTGGTCGTGGTCCAGGCCCCTGGCCCCAGGATCCTGTCCCCCGTTATACGTATACTACTCTCCAATTTTCCCCTGACCCTGTTCGCAACAACTCCGGCCCTCCTCCGCGTCCTGCGTTTTTACACGCAGGTTTGGCCCAAGTTGCTCATCCTGCTTTTCCAATATGATTTTGCAGTGTTCCAAAAGTGGTATTCCCGCTGCAGCGTGGGCCTCATTGCCAGATCGGCGCTGTGCTCCCGTCGTTCAGAATGGCGCTCTCGCCCCAGCGCGGGCCACTGTTCTGCATCCGAGTCACGTTTCATCATTGTCGCCCCCCTCCGTTCTCCTCCTCCGCCTTCCCCTGGTCCTCCTGGTCCTCCCACTCCTTCCACTCGAATTCCTGCTGCTGCTGCTGCTGCTCGTCCTCGTTCTCCTCCTTCCTCATCATACTCGTTTCCCTCCTGCTCATCCTCCTGCTCACCCGCCACCGCCGCCTCCTCCTCCTCCTCCTGTACGCAACTTCCATTTTCCGACTGTGCATAACATGATGAGGTCTTTTGTGGAGTTCTGGGTCGGCTATGAAAGGCATCCGCGGATACAGAAAAATCAGCGCAATGGGAAGAGATGGGAGGAAATGATCGGATGTCAGATATGGAGCGAGCGCACCTAGCCTGCCCTCCTCCTCCTCGTCCTCCTCCCCCTCCCGGATCCTCGATGCAGCCTTATCCGACAAGGGTTACCCTTGAAGGGACGGGACAGCCCGAGGAGAAGCCGTGCCTACACTTGCGCGAGCTTGTTTACCCGTGTATCCGCCACCGTGCGCCCTGGCACGTTATAAGGCGTGGTAGAGTGCCAAGGGCTGTCCGGCAGGGCTTCTGCAATCTTCTAAGCTAGGGCTCCCAACTTCGCGCTCTCGCGCCGCCCTCCCAAAGGGAGAATAGGAGGACGAGGAGGAGGGGGAGAAGGAACGAGGACCGCGAAGCGCGAAGCGCGAATAACTTCGCGCCCTCGAGGGAGCCCTTGTCTAAGGAGGGCGACCCCCCCCTCTCCCAGCCACGCTTCGCCGCAGGCATCGCCCCCCCCGTCCATGGGGCTCCCCGGGCGCCCCAACGCCTCGGGAGCGTCGCCTTCGCACATCTTCCGCCTCCCGTCGGCCCAAGACGGTCCAAGAAGCATCCAAGATGAGCTCAAGACGGCCCAGAGGGCCTCAATGGGGGCCCCAAGACGGCCCAAGAGGGCTCCAACCGCCCAAGAGTGTGGTCCAAGAGGACCCCAAGTCGGCCCGAGAGAGCCCTCAGGGGGCCAGCAGGGTCTCCAAGACGACCCAGAGAGCCCCCCAAGACGGACTCTGGTAGAGCCCAGACGGTCCAAGAGCGCCCTCAGACGGCCCAAGGAGCCCCCAAGAGCCTCCAAGGCGCCTCCAAGATGGAGCCAAGAGGCCCCAAGAAGCTCCCAAGAGGCCACCAAGAGGCCCCAAAAGGGACCCAAAAAGCCGCCAGGGCCTTCGAGCAGCCCGAAGTGTCACACGTGACGGCCTCCCGTGCCCTCTCGCGTAGTCGCCACCCAGAATGCTGCCCTGGCACGGTGGCGGGATTTGCCGCAGACTTGATTTGCTGCGTGCGTGCTTGAATGCGTGCGTGATGTCGTGCCTGTCTGTAACAAGATATCCGCATGTGCGACAATACGACGCTTGCCTGCAAGACTGCATGTTTCTATACATGGTTGTTCACTCGTTCACGTGCTTGCGTGCGTTCTCGCTTGCATGAGTCACATGCCTGCGTACATACGTGCGCGCCCATGCTGGCAAGCCTGTATGCATATTTACATTCGTGGTTCCTACATGATTTACATGATTGTTCGCATTTTAGCGTGGTTGTGGACCTGCTTCCATGCGTACCTGCGTGCATGCTCGTTGTCATGTCTGCGGGCACGCCTGCGTACGTGCATGCGCGCGAGTAAGAGAATGTCGTTTGCACACAGGCGTTCTTAATTGCATGCTTGCATGTTTGCTTACTCGCATGTGCACGTTCTCGCTTGCTTGCGTGCTATTAGAGCCTATATATGGTTGGACATTGCGCGTGCTTGCTGACGTGATGTATTGTTTGCGTGATCGCGTGCTAGCTTGCGCGCAGTCGTGCAAGCGCAGGTGTTTGCAGCCTTGCACGATTGCGTGCAAGAAGACCCCAACACGGCTCGACATGGCCCCAAGAGGGGCCCAGACGCCCAAGGCAATCCAAGAGGGCCTCAAGATGGCCAAAAGATTTCCATGGAGGTCCCCAAGAACCACCCCGTAGGATCCCAAATTTCTCCCAAACTGTTTTCTTGGTACTACCTCATAATGTCGGTCTCGTCCATCGCCATTTACTTTGACCCCCTGTCTAAGCTCAACTGCCTTTCGCGTAACCGTCGCAAGAATATCAGGTCGTTCGCCAATGACACCACCATCTGTAGTGTCATCACCATGACGACAGAATTGCTGGTCGCCCCCTGCGTGTGTAGTCACGAGGCTGCAGACAGCACAGACAACCATAAACTCAGCTATGCCTGCCCTCCCCCGATCACACCTTTTCTCCGTCCTCCGTTCTGCGCCTCTTCCCCCTCCCACCATTGCTCGTGCCTCTCCCTCATCTCCCTCACCCTCCCTTCCTAGCGCATGCCCTGACGTCGACTGGCTGGGATCCTTGCCGGCGTACCCGAACGACACCAGCTTGATGCCAGACTCATCGTGCGTCACGGGCACAATGTGTTTCTGCTTCTCCTGGCACCCATGATTTGTAGCACGAGGAGGAGGGGAAGGAAGATCACCACACAGAGAAATGGCAAATGATGATGAGAGAGGTTGAAGTTCACGTTATGCTCAGCAAGATAGTTCGCACGAGTGCGCCAATTTCTTCTCCTCGGCATATCCTCTTCCCTTACTATCCCCCTCATTGATTTTCTGGTCCTCGCCTATCATATCAACTATGTCAGATCCTCTTACCTCACTTCCTGTCCACGGTCGCATCTCCTGTCTCCTCTCCTTTCCACTAACCTCTCACAGTTCTCATTTCCTCTAAATTGTATCATACCTCTCTCTCTCTCTCGTCTGTACTCTCTCCTCTCCTTCCTAGCTTCTTCCTCGGCTGCGTCCTCGTATGTGGCCTTCCTCCCCATCTCATCTACACTTCTACCGTAGCATCCCTCCCATCCCCCTCGCTAGTTCAGCTGAGCTGCAACATCTACGCTGACCCAAGCCCAGCGAAGCTTTGCTAAGCCCAAGCGCTGGCGCAGGCAAGGCCATAAACGCAGGACCAAGCACCTGAATATGCACGAGCACAGCCACAGGCATAGGCACAAGCAGCATGCGCAAGCTAAGCACTGCAAGCGTAAGCGGCAGCGTCAACGAAATAATAAGCCGAAGCGCAGCTGCTTCCACCATCGTGGCCGCGAGCATGAGCAGATCCCTGAACCAGCCAAGCGCAAACATTTGCCTAGGCGTAGGCGCAGGCGCAGGCATAGGAGACAAGCCCAGACCTACTAGTACATGCTCTCCGAAAACACTTCGTAGCAGATAGTAACCACATCTGTTCTGGCAAGGACTGTGCGCAGGTTGGGTAAGTCAGGCTGTGGCACGCCTGAGTCGAAAGAGGATGCAGGGCTTCCCATGTAGGGGTGTGATAACATGGCATGAGCCAGCACTGACAGACAGAAGGAAGTCCCATGACGGGGAGGAAGGACTGAAAACTACAATAGGAAATCATACAGAGCCAGGCATTCCAACTACAAATGGTAAACGCATATAATCAGAATGCGAGCGACTGTGGCCAAAACAGAGAAGCTGCAAGAAGGAGGGTAAATACAGCAGCGGCTGCCTCGTCCTCATACATCTCCATCTGGGGAACCCTTAGCGGAGCCATGAACACGCCGAGCTGTTTCATCGCGTGGCGTTGCCACTGCAATCAAAAAAGACAATATCGAATTGCGCCGACCTATCGGTACGATCGTGAAGGAGCACGAGGCCGACCAGCATCCGATCCCTTCGAAGAGAAGACCTCCTCTGGAGGCTCACGTGCGCGGACGAACTTCGTCAAACGTCCGACGCTCGCTAGGGGGTGGTCTCTGGGAACTTGACCATCAGGGGCAGGGACGGCCCGTAGACGTCGCAATCGAAGATGCCAACGGAGGCCCCTCGTCGGGGTGACGCTGGAAGAGGCAGGGAGAGGAAGAGATAGAGAGAGAGAGAGACAGAGAAAAAAAAACGTACTGTCAGGACCCCTCCCCTCCCACCTTCCTGCCACTCCCACTCTTCCTCCTCCCCCCCATCCTCCTCCACCCGTTTCCCCTTCTCCCTTGTCCCCTCCCCTCCTTCCGCTCATCCGCTTTGCTCTTCTCTCCTTTTTCTCCTCCTCCTCCTCATCATCCTCCTCCTCAGCGGGTCGAAAGCAGGAGGGTCGAAATGAGGACGCTCCTTCGACCGCGGGTCGAATAAAACGAGTCCGGGGCAGCAGCCCTCCTCGCCGAGAGCGTTCCAGGGGCCGACCTCGATCGTCCCGTTGAGAGGGGGGCAGGATTTGTCCCCCGAGTTTCGGCCACGTTCGCCGGACAGCCTCTGTGCTAAAACAGGGCATGGTCTGTGTCGCGGACTCGGTGCGTCGAAGGTTGGGGATCCAGTCACACACAGTGGCGCAGGCTATGAGGGTCTGTGAGCTGCCGCTGCACGCTCCCGGGCTGGACCCAAGTCGGACCCGCTGGCGGGCCCAACTTGGGTCCAGCCCAACTTGCGGATTCGACAGCGGGTCGAAAGCAGGAAGGTCGAAATGAGGACGCTCCTTCGACCGCGGGTCGAATAAAACGAGTCCGGGGCAGCGGCCCTCTTCGCCGAGAGCGTTCCAGGGATCGCCCTCGATCGTCCCGTTGGGGGGGGGGGCAGGATTTGTCCCCCGATTTTCGGCCACGTTCGCCGTACAGCCTCTGTGCCAAAACAGGGCAAACGCTTGTTTGTCCGGGGGATGCCAGCCCATCCTCGGCACGAGCGCCAATGCGGCCCCTGGGGGCCGCCAGGCTCAACCATGGAGGGACCTATCGTACAACATGGTCTCTGTAGGGGCGGATATTCGGGAAGTTGCCCGTGCCAGAATCTACGTTTCCAGATGGCCTCTGGCCACTTTGCTCCAGAGGGCCACCGTGCCCGAGAGGGTGGTGACACCTGTAAACTGGGCCCACTAACGGGGTTAAGGCGCCCCTAAGCCATATCACTTCAAGCTCCTCCTCCTCCTCTTCCTCCTCCTCCTCGTCCTCCTAATGCTCATCCTCGTCTCCCTGCTCACTGTCCTCTCCCTCATCAGCCTGCTCAACCTCCTACTCCTCCTCTGATCGACGAGCAGCAACAGCACAAGATGAAGGAACAGGATGAGGGCGAGTACTCATGACCATCTCCACCATCATTGTAAGAATCGTCAAACTAGCTGCTCCATATCATCATTAACATCATCGTCATCATCATCAGCATCATCAGCATCATCAGCATCATCAGCAGCAGCAGCATCATCTGCATCATCATCAATCGTCAATTATGAGCAGCAGCATCACCATCATCATCATCATCATCATCATCATCATCATCATCATCATCATCATCATCATCATCATCATCAGCATCATTATCAGCTTCGCCATCGTCGTCATCGTCATCGCCATCATCAGCAGCATCATCAGCACCGGAATCCTCAACATCAGCATCATCATCATCACCACCATCATCATCACCACCAGTACCATTAGCATTATCAATAACACCACCATCAGCATCACAATCACCACCACCAGTATGAGCATCCTCATCACCATCAGCAGCATCAGCATCAGCATGATCATCATCAACCTTATCATCATTATCATCATCCTCATCATCGGCATCCTCATCATCATCATCATCATCATCATCATCATCATCATCATCATCATCATCATCGGCAGCAGCATCATCATCGTCATCATCAGCATCATCATCATCAACGCCCTCCTCCTCCTCCTCCCCCTCTCCTCCTCCTCCTCCTCCTCCTACTCCTCCTCCCCATCATCCTCATCATCCTCATCATCAACAGTATCAGCGTCCTCCTCCTCATCCTCATCATCAGCATTACTAGGTGTATCATCTTCATCAGCATCCCAATCATCATGTACATCATCATCAGCAGCAGCATCATCACCATCAGCAAGATCCTCCTCATTATCATTATCAGCATCATCATGGTCGTCGTCGTCAGCATCATCATCAGCATCAGCATCACTGCTATTGTTATAATCATTGTAATCAGCGCCATCATCCTCATCCTCATCATCGTGCTCCTGTGTCCTCCTCTGTTCACCTCTGTCGCGCTCCCCCTGCATCATCCTCATCAGCAGCAACAGCAGCATCATCAGCAGCATCATCATGATCATCATCACCACCATCATCATCATCATCATCATCATCGTCATTATCATCGTCATCATCATCAGAATCAGCATCATCATCATCAGAAGCATCGCCATCATTATCTACATCATGGTCATCCTCATCACTATCATCATCAGCAGCAGCATCCTCCTTTCTCCTCCCTCCCTCCCTCCCTCCCGCCTCCTCCTCCATGTTCTTCCTTCAAGCGCTGAAGGGCCAGACCGCATCCGACTCACGACCATGTAGCGCTCACACGACCAGAGCCGCGACTGCTCCCCTCGTGCATGGCATGCTATACATTGTAGCACCTTGCCCCAATTCGGGAGGAAGACGGGGGAGGACACAGAGAGATTTAACAGGTTCTGGAACGATCTAAAAGTTGATGGGGGAGCGGTCTTAGTGTTTACGATGCGCCTCTCGGATGAGAAGGAGGAGGAGGAGGAGGAGGAGTAAGGGGAAATGAGGAGACTTCCCTTCTGCCCCCATCCCTCCTCATCACCACTCCGTCCTCCCCCCTGGCTCCTCACTTGGCCCCATCCCTTCTGACTTCTCCCTCCTCCCGACTCCGTTCCGCCCTCCTCCGTCTTCACCCCAGTTTCTGGCACGCCCGGAGCGGGTACAGAGGCGAAGGTATAGTGCCCAATCCCAAGTGTTGTCCAAATCTGGCAGCGGCCGTTGTTGGGCAAGCGGCTTCTTGGGCCTCGGACGGACAACACCCACCCGCGGCGGCACAGACAGCGAACAGTGTTCAAAGGGGACAAGAACTGCAGTGGGTCTTCGTCGTCGTTCCTACCCTGAGTACGACCTCGATCCTCCAGACCCTTCCTTCCTTGAGTGCCACCTCCGTCGTCGCTTCTTCCTTGAGCACCAACTTCGATCCTCTAGACCCTTCCCTCCTTGAATACCAACTTCGTCATCGTTCCTTCCTTGAATACCAACTTCGATCCTCCAAACCCTTCCCCACCATCTCACCATCCCCCCGGCCATGAGCCTGTCTGGCGCAGCGAGAAGGCGAGGTTCACGGACACCGTGCTCTTGCCCACGCCGCCCTTGCCTGGTCACGAGGGGGGGCTCTGGCACAGAGGAGGGAGGAGGCAGAACATCCGGAAGAAAGGGGAGGAGGAGAAGGAGGACCAGTGTAAACCTAAGACGCATCGCCAGAGGTGCAACAAACCCTCCCTCCAAATTCCCTTTTCAGAGATCCCTGCAAGGATTCAGCTTCACTGGGGGAAGTGCCCCGTTGGAAGACAAACGTCTGAAAATCCTGAACCATGCCAGGACACACTCCCTGGTGCTTCAACACCGCGAATCAGCGTTAATATCGCGACCCGACGATCTTGAATCGTGCCAGAACCTCCTTCCTGGGACTTCAGCACCGCGAATCAACGTAACTGATGCGCCCTGACAAGCCGACACCGTGCCAAAACATTATTTCAGGGACGTCAGTCAGAAGAATCCTCGAAACTGCTGTAAACTCTTAAAACGAGTGTGCGCGGCGCTAAAGCGAGAGCCACACTTTGAAAACGCTCCGCCGTCCACCCATGAAACTCTTGCAGACTGCTATGACGAATGCGAGCGGCGCCAAGGCTAGAACCACAGTTTCAAAAGGTACCGTCCTCCATCTGTGAAAGTCTTGCACTTGTTGAAAACGACTGCGCGCGGCGCTAAGGCGAGAGTCACACTTCGGAAACGACCCGCCCTCCACCCGCAAGACTCTGGCAAGCTTTTGAGACGAATGTGCGCGGCGCTAAGGCGAGAGCCACATTTGAAAACGGCCCGCCCTCCATTCTTGAAACTGTTGCATTGTCTCAGCTTAAGGATCGTAACTAGTGAGGATGTCTCCGGCGAAACGCCAAGTCCGCCCTGCAGACACGTCTCGAGGCGCGGCAGGGAGGAGTTATGAATGTAGAAGGAAAACGGATGGAGGACGAGGGGAAGAAGAAAAAGGAGGCGGAGGAGGAACCCCTCGTCGTCACAGTCGGCGTCGTCATCATCATCATCATCAGCAGCATCATCAACCATCATCATCATCATCGTCACCGGGCTATCACCATCATCATCGTCATCATCCACCACCATCACCATCACCAACATCATCATCATCATCATCATCATCATCATCATCATCATCATCATCATCATCATCCACATTATCATCGTCCTCATCCTCGTCTTCGTCCTACTCCTCGTCGTCGACCCCCTCATGTTTCGTCCCTCCTCACTCCTCTTTCTCATCCCTTCTCACTCCTCCTGAATCCATCATTCCGCCTGCCGTGCCCGACTTCCCTCCTCCCTCGTCACTTCTCCTCCTCTGTGATATCAGAGAAAAACCCAATCATAATCTTTTTAGGGCTATAGGGCTATGGGGATATAGGGCTATAGGACCATAGGGCTATAGGGCTATAGGGCTAGAGGGCTATAGGGCTGTGAGGCTATAGGTCTATAGGGCTATAAGGCTATAGAGCTATAAGGGCTACAGGGCTATAGGGCTGTAGGGCGATTGGCCTATAGGGCTATAGGGCTATAAGGGAACCCGGGCACCTGGGCACCCGGGCACCCGGGCAAATCGGAGGCGCACCTCAGCTAACCATATGAATCCGCTAGGACCCCTACAGAGGCAAGCTCTGATTGGGGAACTTCAGCATCCTCCTCCTCCTCATCAGCATCAACATCAGCCTCATCCTCATCCTCAGCATCACCATCATCATCAGCAGCATCGGTATCAGAATCATAATCATCACCACCCCCAGCATCATCATCATCAGCATCAGCATCAGCATCATCATCATCATCATCATCATCAAAATCATCATCATCATCATCATCATCATCAGCATCATCATCATTCTCATCATGAGCATCATCATCATCATCATCATCGTCATCATCATTATCATCATCATCATCATCATCATCGTCATCATCATCGTTATCGTCATCATCGTCATCATCAGCATCATCATCAGCATCATCTTGGCGGCGCGCAGAGGGAGGTAGGGGGAGGGGGACAGGCTTTTTAGAAAGAGGCTGATCCTGAGAAGGCGCTGGTCTTACATTTATAGATAGGGCCCGCGCCTTCTAAGAAGCAGCCTCCTTCGAAGAAGCCTTCCCCCCTCCCCATACCACTCCATGCGCGTGGCCGACCATCACCACCACCATCATCAACCCCACAATTATCGTCATCATCACCATCCCCTCGTGACACTATCGTCTCTCCACGCCGCCCTACCTCCCTCCCTCGCCCAGTTCCTCACTCCTCTCTCTCATGTTCGCCCACTCCCTCCCTCCATCCTCTTACCACCTCTCGCTCGTTCCCTCCCTCCCTCATTGCTGCCTGTCCACTTTCTCTCCCCTCCCGCGGCGTACACATAAAGCACACACACACACACTTGAAGTCAGCGGCGCAGAGGAGACTCAGGCGCGGTCCACGGATGTAGGCATGAATTGCGACCGAACTTGGTCGGAACGCGCAGTGAAGGATACGTCCACCACTGCTGTACAGAAGGGATGGTGAAAAGAAAAAGAGAGGCACAGTAAACGGCAGAGAATGACTGGTGTAGATACCCCAAGCACGAATGCAGAGAATCGGTGGTATAGGGATGGGACTGTAAGCCCAAAAGGTGCAGCGGCCAGAACCTGAGGACACACACACTCTTGGTCATCAGCGGGGCGGCGCAACGCCAGCCCGTCCAAGAAGTGACTGCGGCCGCGCACGCGGCGGCTGGTAAGGACGGCACGCAAAGGCCAAAGCCGGCCAGAATTAAGATCACAAGGGGCCAGCAAACCAAGAGCAAGGAGGGGCCAAGCGAAGCGGAGAGAAAACCGAGGAGCGAGAAGCGACAGCGAGAGCCGAGGAAGAAGACGGACGGACGCGAGGGGCAGGGCCGACCGACGCACGATGGGGGAGCCCGGGGGGAGGCAGGAGGCACAACACACCACAAGGGCAAGGCAAGACACGGAAAGGGGAAGGAGCCAGCCGAGGAGGGAGACGAGGGAGAAAGAGAGGAGGCACCACACAGAGGCAGTGGGGAGAAGGGAGGGGGACCGCAGGGCGGCTGGAGGCACGCCAGGTGGGCAGCGCGCGGAGCAGGAGGCCGTGCCTCAGGAGGGGGACGGCGGGGCGAGGAAGGGACGACGACGAGGAGGGGCGCGGCAGCTCTGCCCAGCCAGGCGGGGCAGCAGTCGAAGGTCACACCATCAAAAAAAACAAGTGCACAACCATCACCACAGCAACAACAACGAAACAACTATAACAATAACAACAACAACAACAACAACAACAACAACAACAACAACAACAACAACAACAACAACAACAACGGCAACAACAACAACGACAACAACAACAACAACAACACCAACAACAACCACAAAAACAAACCAACAACAACAAGAACAGGAAACAACAACAACAACAACAACAACAACAACAACAACACAAACAACAAGACGCACAATGACAATAACAACAACAGTAACAACAACCATAACAACAAAAACAACAATAACAAAAAGAACAGCAACAACAACAAGAACAACAACAACGACGACAGCAGCAACAACAACAACCACAACCACAACAACCACCACCACCATCACATCAACAACAACCACAACCACCAACACAACAGCAAAAACAACAACAACAACAACAACAACAACAACAACAACAACAATCATTTAAGACTGGGGACACTCCGTTCTCACCAGTGCCAGGGTTTTCATAGGAGGCGGGCAATACCCCCACTTTGTGGGGGGGCCGGTTCAAGCTCTACCAAGTTTCCAAACGACTCTTCGCCACCATCCACACCCAGCTTCCCGCCCTATGACGTTCGGACACTTCACTTCGTGGCCTGCGGACGACCTTGGCTACTACACTGGCGCATGGTTACAATGACTTGTTGTGGTAACATTTTGTGGAAGCTAGCTTAGTATACATGCCGACGACGATTTTCGAGGTCCCACGGTGCGATTCGTATGATTTTATGTTGCGCGGTGCTAAAATTCCTACGAAACCCAATGGTTTTTGAAGATGTCGGCGTGCGCGCGCAAAGAAAAAACGAATGTGTCCCGCATGGTATTATTTGACAGGGATGATGACCCTGGCAGGTGCGCAACGGTTGTTGGAGAAGTTCGAAGCACGTGAAAAAGTTGCTCGGAAAAGCCCATTTGACAGAAATGTTTAAAAAGTGTTGGGTTTCCTACAAATCCGCAAGAGCGCGCGGGATGAAATTTTGACACTTTGTTTTGAAAAACCATTGGTTTTTTGATGTTTTTATGTTGAAATCGCTACGAACACTAAGGTTTTGGAAGGATTTCGTCTTGCGCGCGCGAATGTCCACTTTACCTTATTTTTTGCAAGGGATTCTTGAAGTTTGGTTATGTTAGAACAAGAAATGTCCACTTTAGCTTATTTTTTGCAAGGGAAAACGGGGGACAACAAAACAACCGGATCTGGACCAACCCGTTTTGCCTGAGACTTCCTCACGAAAATGATGAAAATGAGGCTGCGGCCTAGGCGCGGCGGGGGGGGCGCGCACCAGGGGTCCCAACAATAATTATTCTTTAGAATTAATAATGTTCAACAACAACAACAACAACACTAACAACAACAACAGCAACAACAACAACAGCATAAGCAGCAACAGCAGCAGCAACAACAACTGCAACAACAGAAACAGCAATAACAACAACAACAACAACAACAACAACAACAACAACAACAACAACAGTAACAACCATAACAACAACATCTACAACAGCAGCATCAGCAACAAAAACAAACGAAACTAAAACAGCAACATTAAAACAAACAAAAAACATCACAACAAAAAGCATGCACTCCCCGCCAAGCGGGAAGGTGCGACAGGAATTAGAATCCGCCCCGCCGTGCCAGGGCGTGAAGACGGATCCGGGGGGACAAGCGGATTGCCCCCCGCCATTGGGAGAAGTGCGGCAGAATGGATACCCGCTCTGCCAGGCAAGGGATGATAGGTGGATCGCCACCAGCCGGGCGGGGGATGTGTACCGGCACCTACCACAGCGGACGGCCCCCGAAATCCATCCAAACGGGGCGTGAAGTCCGCGCCCGAAAACCCTGCCACACGTGCAGGGCTGCGCACGAGACCGCACGCGTGCCACACGGGATGGACCGGCGGATCGAGTCCGATCCGTGCACGCTGTATACTTCCCTCGTGGCGCTCCTAGCTGGAAGGGCAGGGGGGCGGGGCCCGAAGAAGGGGGGGGGCGTCGTGCATCGCAGCCCCACCGCCCACCGCCGGCACAAATCTGAGATGAGATCGGGGAGGTTTCACCTCCTCCCAGGGGCACCCACCAAGCAAATGCGAGGGGGGGGGGCCGCGGGGGGGGAGGAGGGGACGACACGACCGACGCAGGGTGGACGAGGAGTGCGGAGAGGCAAAACAGGGTATCAGAAATCGGGGAGGCCTCCACCCGGTGAACCCCCACCATGACTTGAAGTGGCAGGACTTATCCCGCCCTGCTGGGCGGCTCGTGAAAGACGGAGGGGAGCGGCGGGGCGAGGAAGGGACGACACGAGGCGACAGGAGAAAGACGAGGAGGACGAGGAGGAGGAGAGGCAGAACGATCGTGAGACGGGCAACTGAGACCACCTGCATGACACAGCTCATGTTGCCCTGGGAAGCGGGGAGCCAGAAGAGCACAAGAGCGAAGACCGAGGCCAGGAGGGCAGGACAAGCGGGGAGGGAGAACAGGAGAGGCAAGAGTACCCCCCCAAAAAAGTCCGATTCACGCACGCCATAATTTCCCCTGCGCGTTCTTGGCTGGAAGAGGCAGCCAACCTCCAATAGGCACACTCAAGCTGAACCCAAGGCTGAGCAACAAATTGGCAATGCAAATGTTCATTGAACATAGGACGCAAATGATCATCAAAGGTGGGCTGGCCCTGGCGCCACACTGTGGGCCGCCTTTTGGAGGCCACCCGCATCGAGGCGCGCCATGTTCGGGAACGAGCCCACGAAGATGGTGATGTTCGGGGAGACCTCCAGCATCCTCTCCATGTTGGGCAGCACCATCGTGGGCACGTCCTCGGTCCCCCCGCTGATTTCCCCGAGCTTGCTGTCATAGCCGCAGACGTTGACCATACTCTGGGTGACCTGGTCGCACGCCTCCAGGATGGCGGTGGTCAGGCTGGTGGTATTGATTCTGAGGCGGACCAGGTTGGCGTTCAGCAGCCCGAGGAACGCGAAGAGCGCCCTCTCCAAGCCCTCTGCCACCTTGCGCCTGAACATCGGGATGGCCTTCAGGCAGTCCTGGTGGAGCCCACGGAGTCGAAAGCCGGACTCGGGGAAGAACTTTGCCATTGAGGCGCAGCTCCACGTCAGAGGCGGGGGTGCGGTCCTCGACGAACTGGGCAGCCTTCTGCTGCGCTTGGTCAATAAGCTTCCCAACACTTACGGCCCTTCCCGTTGTCTCGCCTCCTCGTTGTCCTCCTCCTACCCCAGTTCCTCGTCCTCTCTGAATTGCGGCGTGCCCTGGCAACGCGAAAGCGGCAAGGAACGGCCGGCAGAGGTTCATTCCCGTCCCCCGGTCTGGGTCAGGGGCTGCGGCTCGCAGGCTGGGGGGCGTTTAAATATTCTGACGCTAGCCGGGGGGATCAACAAGCCGAAGTCCTCAACGAGCTCCTCACCCTGCAGCGTCGCGGGGAGGGCCAGGACGCCGTCCACAGTGTAGCCCCACGGAAACCTCCAGCAGCTGCTCCGCGCGCGCCGCCATGTCTGCCATGGCCTGCCGCGCTGGCGGCGCCATCGGCGCCCGTGGCACCAGCGGCGCTAGCGGCACCAGCGCGCGCGGCGGCGCCCGCGGCGCCGGCAGCGCGGGAGGCAGCAGCACGGCGGTGACGCCGCCGCCGCGTCGCGGGGGACTCCATCGAGGACGAGGCCCAGGCCCAGCGCGCACCTGAAATAGGGGAGTACTCGAGCCGAGACGGCTTGAGCCAGGCTTGAGCCAGTGGCTACGGACACACACACACATACACACACACACACACACACACACACACGCACGCACGCACGCACGCACACAAACACACACACACACACACACACACACACACACACACACACGCACACACGCACGCACGCACGCACGCACGCACACACACACACACACACACACACACATCTGCACACGCCAATCCCCTCTCCCTCTTCTCTTCTCCCTCTTTCCCACTCGTTCATCCCTCACCCTTGCCGTCGTCTGAGCCCCTCCATCCCCACAGAGCCGACGTCCCCGCGTCCCCGTCTGATTGCGGCGCGGGGCACACGAGTAGACAGCGATGATGTTCTTCACCTGCCCCACCCCCGTGGGATTGCTCATCCTCCTCCTCCTCCTCCTCCTCCTCCTCCACCCCCTCTCTCCTCCTCCCTCATCCCCTCTCCTTCCTCCTCTCTGCCCCTCCTCCTCCTCCTCCTCCTCCTCCTCCTCCTCCTCCTCCTGCTCCTCCTCCTCCTCCTCCTCCTCCTCCTCCTCCTCCTCATTATCCTGTCCCTCCTCCCCCTGTTCCTCTTACCCACCCCTCTGAAGCCAGATGCGCCCCAGCGACCAGGAGCAGAGGCCAGCACTGCCCGCTCTCCATCCGTGAAACAGCCACATGTTGAAATTCGCCCGCCTTCCATCCGTTTTCTATCGTAGGATCTTACACGGTGAGGATGTCTCAGGCAAAACGCTGGGACCGCCCCAAGATGAGGAGCAACATGACTGTAAAAAACCAAAGCTGGAGGAGAGGACGGAGTGGGAGGCGGGGCCGGAGGAGGGAAGGGGGAAGACCACGAGGAGGACATCTATAACTATATATATATGTATATACACATACATAGATACACGCATCTTCATAAAAAGAGAGAGGGAGAGAGAGAGAGAGAGAGATCCCCCAAACAGTGTTTGCACTGTTTGGGGTTCTCTAACTTCTTATCTAAGGAACTGGGCCGGTGTGGCGGTGTGGCGGCTATGTTGCCGCCGTCGCCGCCCCGTCGCCGCCTCGCCGCCCCGTCGTTTGGGCCAGCGTGCCGGTTCGGCGGCTATGTTCCTGCCGTCGCCGCCGCGTCGCCACCTCGTCGCCGCTCGTCGTCTGGGCCAGTGCAGCGGTCTGGCTGGCGGCTATGTTGCCGCCGTCGCCGCCCTGTCGCCGCCTCGTCGCCGCATAGATTGCGACATAGATGCTCCTTTTCTAAAAAAATACTAGGATCGACCCCCCCACCAGAATTAACGGTCCCCTTGTCGCTTTCAATTTACATGCGATTCCGCCCCATTGTCCATCCTAAACATGAAGTCGTACCACGCCAGCCAAGCCAAGATCGCCCCCCCCCATGCTTTTGCAAAAAACACTATAAGCGCACAGTCGCTTATCAACGATCATCAGTTGCCAAGAACCCCTTACAAAAAAATATGACGAAGTGCACACGCGCGCGCAGTCGCGCGCGCATGCCGAAATCCCTCCAAAACCATAGGTTTCGTAGGATTTCCAAACCGACGGCCCCGAAAACATATAACAGCACATGGTTTCGCAACAAGGATTTTCAGAAAAATTGCGCTCAGGCGCTTGCGAATTCTTACGGAAACCAATAATGCTTCAACATGTTCATAAATTGCTACCACACGGGCCTTTCGCGCGCGCACGTCGGAATCATTCCAACGCCCTTGCGCGCGTGTTGTCGCAAGAACCGCTTGCAAAAAAGGGACGAAGTGCACGCGAGCGCATCGTCGCGCGCACATGCGGAATTTCCTCAATAACCCTAGGTTGCGTATGGATTTCAAACTCGGTTGTCCACGAATGGAAAATTGTATTAAAAAAGTGGGAAACGAAGCACATGGTTTTGTCACATCAGTTTTCACCAAATGCCTGCGCTCGCGCTCATGTGAGTTCTTACATAATTAGCCTGGCGAAGGACCCAACCATATGCAGTTGTGAGCACCGTCGTCGTATGCACCGCATTCGGAGGAGCTCCCTATAGGGCCACGAAACGTGTGAGGGGTGTGCCCCAAAATTGTCTGGTGGGCGCATGCGAAAGCAGCCACTGGGGCTGTCGGTGAAGTCCCGATGGCTCACGAAACGCGTGAGAGGTGTGCCGAAATAGGCGCGGTGGGCGCAGGCGAACGCAGCCATTGGGGCCGTCGGTGGAGCTCGCTATGGTGCCGCGAAACGTGTGATGGGTGTGCCGAAGGAGGTGCGGTGGGCGCATGCGAACGCAGCCGCTGGCGCCTTCGGTGGAGCTCTCTGTGGGGCCACGAAACGTGTGAAGGGTGTGCCAGCATGGGAATGTACGACGCATGCGGGCGGTGGCACTGGGGCCTTCGGTGGAGCTCCCTACGGGGCCACGAAACGTGTAAGGAGTGTGCCGGTATGTGTGTGCGTGACACAGGTGGGCGGTGGCACTGGGGCCTCTGGTGGGGTTCCATGTGGGGCCACGAAACGTGTGAGGAGTGAGCCGACACGGATGTGCGTGACGTACGCGGGCGGTGGCACTGGGGCCTTCGATGGAGCTCCCTATGCGGCCACGCAACGTGTGAGGGGTGTGCCGAATTGGGTGTGCGTGACGCATGCGGGCGGTAGCACTGTGGCCTTCGGTGGAGCTCCCTATGGGGCGGCCACGAAACGTGTGAGGCGTGTGCCGAAATGGGTGTGCGCCGCGCATGCGGGCGGTGGCACTGGGGCCTTCGATGGAGCTCCCTATGGGGCCACGCAACGTGAGAGGCGTGTGCCAAAATGGGTGTGCGTGACGCATGCGGGCGGTGGCGTTGGGGCCTCGGGTGGATTTCCCGATGCGGCCACGCAACGTGTGAGGCGTGTGCCGACCTGGGTGTGCGTGACGCATGCGGGCGGTGGCGCTGGGGCCTCCGGTGGAATTCCTGTGGGGCCACGAAACGTGTGAGAGGTGTGCCGACATGTGCGTGCATGACGCATGCGGGCGGTGGCACTGGGGCCTTCGGTGGGGATCCCTGTGCGGCCTCGAAACGTGTGAATGGTGTGCCGAACTGGGTGCGTGACGCACGCGGGCGGTGGCACTGGGGTCTTCGGTGGAGTCCCTATGGGGCCACGCAACGTGTGAAGAGAGCTGAAATGGGTGTGCGTGACGCTGGCGGGCGGTGGCGCTAGGGCCTTCGGTGGGGTTCCCTATGGGGCCACGAAACGTGTGAGGAGTGTGCCGAAACTGGTGTGCGTGACGCATGCGGGCGGTGGCGTTGGGGTTTTCAGTGGAGCTCCCTATGGGGCCACGAAACGTGTGAAGGTGTGCGGAAGCGGGTGCGCGTGACGCACGCAAGCGGTGCAGGAAGGAAGGGAGGAAGGAAGGAGGGAGGGAAGGAGGGAGGTAGGGAACACGGGGGCCGCCTCTTCAAAACGAAGACCCAACACCACAAGATGGCTGGGAAGGAAAAACACACGGGTGTTTCAATATGTTCGTGAAATTCAGCCAAAGGGGCCCCTCGCGACGCACGTCGAAATCATTCGAACGCCCTTGCGCGCGTGCTGGGAAGGGGTACGATCCGCATCAAATAATACCATGCGGGCCACTCTCGAACGTTGGCCGCGCGCGCATGTCGAACTCCCACCAAAACTGTCATCACCGACGCGAGGACGCCGTTATCGTCGTCGGCGTGATTAGCATCGGCGCCGTCACTGGCCTTGCCGTCGTCGTTGTCATCATCGTCACCACCACCGCTACCATCATCATCGCGTCTACCGTAGTCGACGTTGCCATGATACCGCGCCCGCCCAAGTCGCCGACTCGCACTGACATGTCGGTCGCGCCGAACTAGCTTGCCGCTGCGCGCGCGAGCATGCGCGGGCTAGCGCGGCCGCAGAGACGCACCAGCCAACTCCAAGCACTCATCGCAATCGTCGCAGGCTGGGTTTTGCCAACTAAATTGCGGGTGGGTGGATGAGACGATTGCGCGAGCAGCGAAATTGACAATTTACTGCGAACAGCACTTAAGTGCACCACGACGATTGCACCACACCTATTATCCTTCCTCCAAGAAGATTGCGACCTACCCCCCTTGACATAACGACCCCCCCTTCGCGTATTGCAAGTTACAAATAAGTCTGCCCCCTCCTACATCCTCACTATGAATTCGTAGCACCCAAAGCAGGCAAGCATCGCCCCAGACGTCATCCTCTGCAACAAATCCGATGCGCGCACACACGCTTACCAAAAACCAGCACCCAAAACCCCTTGCAAAAAAATACGAAATGCACACGCGCGCGTCGTCGCGCGCGCATGCCGAAATCTGCCAAAAACACTAAGTGGCGGAAAGATTTCAGATTCGAGTGCCCCGACAACACATGAAAAACGAATGACTCCGCAACCAAGTTTTCAAAACCGGAAAAAAAAACCTGCTCTCGCGCTGATGCAGATTATTCAGGAAAATATGTGTTTTCAACACCTTCATCACATTCTGCAAACAATGCTTCTCGCGCGCACATGTCGGAATCACACGAACGTCCTTGCGCCAGTGCTGTCGCGAAACCCCTGTTACAAAACGAAGTGCACGCGCGCGTCGTCGCGCGCGCATGCGGAAATTGAACACAAGCCTGAAGTGTCGTATGGGTTTCAGTATCGAATGTCCCTAAAACATATCATATCACATGTCTTTGCAGCAACAGGTTTCAAAAATGGCTGCGTTTGCGCTCCTGCGAAATTTAAAGAAACCACAAGTTTTCGAAATGTTCCTGAAATTCACCCAAGCGGCCCCCTCGCGACGCACGTCGAAATTATTCGAACGCCCTTGCGCGCGTACTGAGGGGGGCACGATCCGTATCAAATAATACCACGCGGGCCACTTTCGCGCGTCGGCCGCGCGCGCATGTCGAACTCCTTCCAGAACCTTCATCACCAACGCGAGGACGCCGTCATCGTCGTCGGCCTGATGAACATCGGCACCGTCACTGGCCTCGCCGTCGTCGTTGTCATCATCGTCACCAACATCGCTACTGCCATCAACCGTGTCTACCGTTGTCGACGTTGCCGTGATACCGCGCCCGCCCAAGCCGCCGACTCGAACTGACGCGCCAGCTGGGGAGTGCCCAGCGGTCAACGCCACCGCGGCCGCGTCGGTCGCGCCAAACTGGCTGCCGCTTCGCGCGCGAGCATGCGTGGGCTAGCGCGGCCGCAGAAATGCACAATCCAACGCCAAACAGTCCTCGCAATCGCCGCAGGTTGAGTTTCACAAACCAAGTTGCGGGCGGGCGGGTGGAATGCTTGCGCAAGCAATAGAGTTGACAACTCAATGCGAACAAAAACTATTTGCACCACGAAGGTTGCATATCGCAGGTTGCACCACACACACTGTTC